ACTCCCAAGAGGATGTTTCTCCGATCACTACAATCATAACCTGTTCAAGGCTAAGGATAACCGTTATCTTCCCCACCTATCCGCATAAAGTGTGCCTCTTATTCTGTTAAGCCTCTACATCGAGTGGCCCCGGGCCTTGAACAGAGTGACCCGTACTTTTAAAGAAAATGGTTAACCTCAAAAAAGTACCCGCAGCCACAACTAAGAAACACAAATCAATGATGAAAAACCCAGTATGATAATCGGGATAGATATACAACGACGCAAGCGCGTCGTACACTCTGTGCTACTTAACCATAGCCACTATTATTCAGGCGAATAGAGGCGCTTCATGTTAGTATGTAGATTCCTTTAGCGATATATATATATATATATATATATATATATATATATATATATATATATATATATATATATACCAGTATTGGCTGTATTTGTGCAACAATTTTGCTTGTTTACGAGTTTGGTTAAAGGCCAATGAAAGTGTGTATTTTTTGTGTTATTTTTTTTCTACATTTCCGACTATTTTCCTGGTTTCGTAAAAATTTTCCATATAAATTGTCCAATGTTTCAGTGCGTTCGGCTTTCATAAGCCCTTGTGAAAGAAAAGAGTTTTTCTTGTGTCATGTTGGTTTCATCATTTTTAAAATATCGCGTCATCACATGTTCAGTCGTGTTGTCTGGCAGTTGTTTTTTTTTATTTTTATCCTGAAATATATTCAGTATGTTTGTTCCTAGATTTGAGAATATTTTTTTTATTGATGTTCGATTATTTGTTTTTTTACGCATAAGGCTTCTCGTATTTATAGTCGCTTTTTACAGTTTATGTGTATAGTATTTTGTGTTATTGGTAATGATTGTTCCTTTATTGGTAGGGATTGACAGAAAATCAGGAAAAAGCACCGAAATACATGTACGTAGAAACGTCGGAAGCCTTTATTTTCTGCAGTAAATATTTACTTTTGAATATAATCACTTTTTATCAATGCACCCAACGCAGCGTTGGTTATAATATAGTTCTCTATAAGATCTATTTAAGTTAAAAATTCACGGTAGTAAGTACATGAGAGACTACAGACTAATTTCTGTATTAATAGGTGGCAATTTTCTGTATTAACAGGTTTGCATCGACGACAGTTCCTGGATAAAACGTAAAGCCAAAAGAAAACATAAATATGGGAGAAAATAAATTCAATTATTTATTTACAAAATTAACATTTTTTCAAACCATACACATGTCAGCATAAACATGCATGAACAAATACGTACATACATACATACATACATACATACATACATACATACATAATAGCTATCAACCCATTGAGCGAGTATGATCATCGCTATCAAGTTTGATTGATGTTATCGTTTTTCGTGAGAAGTGTAACGGCTCTTGAAGCCAGCAAATTAACTGCAATGCCTATCACAGACGTGACAACCTAAGGTGTTTTGTACAGGACCTGACAAATGTTTTGTAGAGGCTGTTCAGCTTGATCGTGGGTCTTCATGTAACGGGTGAGACCGGAGCAGTTTATGTAGATTTTCTTAAACACACTGCATGATAAGTTATTTCCTGGGTAGTACTAATCGTAATTGTCGAAAGGTCTACCAATATGCTTATTCTTGTGCCTAACGCGGCTTACATTGGAGAGACATAGTCTGCCATATTCATCACATGTATATTGATGGACATACATACATACATGTTTATATGCGCCAATATGTGTGTGTGTGTGTGTTTCACTGAATACGATGGACAAGATGAAGGAGAAATATTTTATTATCCAGATTTTATAGCATTCTTACAATATTTTATGATGAATATGTGTGTTTTGAAACTGTGCTTTGTATTTGCCGAAAGCACTCGGCACTATGATGACTATGGAGAGTTTCTATATTCATTTAGTCCTCATAAATGATAAATTGGTAAAAGACTAGAAAAAGTGAATATTCCATGCTCGTCTTAATCAAGCAAACACGCGGACACAAGTATATATGTAATTTATGAATATAGATAATACATAAAATTGCATATATATATATATATATATATATATATATATAAATGAACATAGAAGTCAACACTTAGAGGCGACAGTCTGTAAACGTTTTCCGGTAAAATAACCGCCAAAATAGACTACCCACAATGCACCACTGACCCGTATATATAAATAGCCGAGAAAAATAACAGCACTGTCGCCTCTAAGTATTGACTTCTATGTTCACTTTTATATTTACACACGCTCTATCTCTGATATTGAGAACTTTATCCCATAAATATTGCACATCTTAAGACTATATTTCTTCATATATATATATATATATATATATATATATATATATATATATATATATATATATATCATCGCGAAAACTATTACCAATCACGATAAATGGATGTTCCTTTATGCAGTGAGCGCCTATCGGGCCTTAAGCTCAACACAAAACCTCAAGTGGATCGCGTACATATGATCTTTCGCTAAAGATATTGGATCCTGCTATCATCTACCTTTACAGGGGCCAGATCAGGCCTAAAATGGAGTACTACTGCTATATATGGGCAGGGGTCTGCACTGCCATTACTTTCTAGTCTCGACAGAGTCCAAAAGCGTCTTCGTGTCTTTGTCGGTGACAAATTATTTTCCACCCTAAAACCCCTTTTTCATAGACGAATCGTCGCAAGCCTCTCGCTAATCTATCGTTATATCCAGGGAAGTGCGAACTACATTCCTTAGCTACACCAGTTCTAACCTTCACGGCTAAGACGCTCCATGCTACGCACATTGTAGCGAACCAACCTCATTCCTTTCGAATTCCATTGGTGAGCAGCTTCTTGCCACGAACCACTGTTCTGTGGAACCGAATCCCATGCGGATATTTTTTGATCACTATAATTTTAACCTGTTCATGTCTAGGGTTAACCCAATCTTTCCCACATATCCGAATAAATTTTGCCTCCTAATCTGTAATCTGTGTAACTCACGGTTCTTGTACAGTGTTAACTTCACTGTGAAAAATAATATGCATATACATATATCCATATAGAAATTTAAATGCATATGGGTGTATATGTGCGTGTGTGTCTATATGCATATTCGAAACATTTTCATTTTTTTATTTTATTAAAAATTATGTTTCCAAATTTGTATTCAGTCTTTAATTTAATTTTAATTTCCAGTCTTTAATCTTGAAAGGTTTGGGCTATAAATTTTTATGTCTTATATATATATGTATGTATGTATGTGTGTGTGTGTGTGTGTGTACACAGATATGGGTTAGGTCTTTTTAAGTCCACTCTAGACCGCACACTGTACAGTCTTCAAGAATTCGGGGAAGCGCTCAACCCCATATCAGTATCGTCCCCTCAGCCCATCAGTGTCCTGCTGGTATCTTAGCTGAGATATCACAATGCCTTTGACAATGTGTAATTTAGGGTTTTGCGACGCAAATCCCCCAGCTATGGAATCACTATAAGCGTTCTTGAAATGATAAAGTCCTTGAAGCTAGGTCCTTGAAGATCATTGTGGATGGTTAGGTTTCTGAAGCATATGAGATCAATTCAGGCGCCCAACTAGGGTGACGCATCGGTTCTACCTTCTTTCTGTTTATATTAACGATCTGTCTAAGAATATTCTCAGATCGTTAGTAAATATCTATGCAGTTGATATCACAATTTGTGTACATCTAAAATCTAGATGACCAGAGCCTGGCAGCTGAACTCTCGCCTGGCTTCACCCTAACAGCCTAAAGAAGGTGAAATAAGAGCATGTATTTTTCACTAACTCTAAACCAAACTAGCCCTAAATTCTCATTGGCCACGATGAATAGTTGTACTCTCAAAGAGGTTCCTTCTTAATAGGAGGTAAGAACTGATCTCTTAGATAGGTGCAGCCGGTACTTCTTTCATTGAATGTGGATGGGATTTGAGTCAATGCCGCCTGACAATGGCGAGCAGAAACATCCCCACAATTTTCAAGAATGGAATATCCGATACAACTGGCATCCAGTATCATGCTTTATTGCCTTGCTTGGGGATGAAATAGTTAAAAAAAAAACAGCTGTTTAACCAGTATTCACACTAACTAACCAGAAGACAGAGAACAATTGATAGAGTTATGGACGATGACAAGGTTCGATGGCGCCACTTCCCTTTTGACGCGCACACATACACATACATACACAGACACAAACACACAGACATACACACAGACGAATGACACTCTGAAAGTAGTGCTTCCTAATTAGTTCCACGGGAAATGCTGCATATTTAAGCTGCGAAAAACACCATTAAGTAGAGTTACTGTTTCAGCTAGAAAAATTTATTTTTTCTATCACTGTCTATGAATTTTTGATTAATAATCAATAAGAGTTTTCACAACTGAACCGAATCGTGTCTTGGCATTCAACCATTTCTGAAACGTATATACCTACGCTTAATGATGATCACATCCTTTGTTTGGTCTCCATAAACCTTTAATAAGTATCGATACATGTCAATGGGTGTGATCTTTCTGTATGGAGAAATTAAATAACATACTCCGACTTCGTATGTATTTTCATGACAGACCCTATTTTAAATAGTATCTGTAACAAGAAAAAATTCTGCGTTACTAGTTCGAAGCTTCATACTCGACTGCCTACTATACCCATAAACATTTAAACATAATAAAGTAGTTGGCATTACTTTCGGAGTTCCCCTCCATGTGAATGCAAAACCGGTCAATCCGTTTTGTTAAATATATTAAATAAATTAGACGTTACCTCTCCACACACACACGCACACAGACACACACACACACACACACACACACACACACACACACACACACACACATATATATATATATATATATATATATATCGGGAGAACGTAGAAGAAAGATAGCGTGGACATAGGAATGAACTTTGCATAAAGACTGTCACTATTTCTATGTCCTCCCGATATCTATCTATATATATGTATATATATATATATATATATATATATATATATATATTGTTTAACTTATAGTTTGCAATGCTCGTTTACGTCTTTTAAACACTTCCGTTTGTGGAAGGACATCGGGTAACGACATACCCGGAGGTGGCGCTCCAGTGGACAGTGAAACAATAGGGGGTAGGTCACTGCCCGACTGTTTCTGACGGGAACGAAATTTTTTCGGTTTTCTACAATACAAATAAAGATTTTCAAAAACAGCCACGACGTCATCGATCGACTCTCGAACGGACATCTCGTAAAATCCCATGCAACTGAGTTCGGCTGCCTTCAAGCGTCCCTCTTCTTCGCTGACCATTCTGTCATAGATCCGATCTGTCTGATTCCCAACAAGGGCCACAGGTAGGCAGTTCCCCTCGGGCACTGACACACTGCTCCGCCGTTGCTTCTTTGTGTAGTTGCTTATGAGAAACTTGAGTCGACTGCATTCGTTAAAGCTGCATCTATCTGTGACTGCGTACATTAAGACGTATGCTTCAGCCCATTTTAGATTCTGTTCCAACATGAGACACTCCTCCTGAAAAGAAAAGAAAAAATTATTTGAAAATATAATAGCACGATAAGCCTCTTCATGGTCAATACTCTGCTCTGTACCAAACAAGATTATGTAGACAAACCTCGTACCCATTAGTGGTTACATAGTGCAAGGTTAAATGCTGAAGCCGAATGTTTTATTCTTGTTGCACAAGATTAATGCTTGTTAACTAGAAATTACCAAGAACACTTAATGAAGGATTGTGTTAACCCGAAATACAGATTCCGAAATGAATACCCAGAAACAATCGATCACCTTGTATCAAGTTGCATGGTATTAATAGCCACTGAATATAAAACACGGCGTGAAATAGTGAGCCATTATCTGCAATGGAAAATCTGCAATTTTTACGGGAAGGAAACTGCAAGAAATTGATATGAATATCACCCTGACCCAGTTACAGACATAGAAACTTTAACAATTTCATGGGACTTTACAATACATAAAATACATTAATTGCCCAAACATAGTGATCAAAGACCACAAAAACAGAATATGCTTTCTTGGCAGTTCCTGCAAAAATTATCAGAATACAAGTATCTTGAAGTGGAAACCTCAAAAATGTGGCACACGAGGACATCAATGATGCCATTCCTGACTTTAGGTCCCTGGTTGGGCCCCGGAAGGAAATGTGTATACAACAGAAATCAAAGATAATAATAATAATAATAATAATAATAACCTTCCGCTAATTTGTAATGGGCGGGGAGTGATCTCTCCTATAAAACATGATTGCTATCACTGTCATTGGTGACAGAAATTTGAACATTTGTCGGATGGCATTTTCTGCCGCCTTTCAATGCTAAATTTTATACAATTTGAAACAAAGTTTTATAGGCCCGATGCAGCTACTTGGCGTATGAATGTGCATTTAGTGTTTCATTGCATTTAATAAATACATCGAAGTTTCCACCACATGCATATTAGCATTCTTCCATGGAGCTTTTGGATTGGTTGTGGAAATTTATCCTTGTCAGTTTACTGTCTTTTACGTTGAACATTGTCGTATGTGAACCACTTTTCATCACCTGTTTTGATAATTTTAAGTAGGTACCGCCATGAAATCGCTAAAAAATAATCATACCTTGATTAAAACATGCTCCAAATGGAATGGAAACATAGTTTTTGCGTCAAAATCTTTCTGTTATTAAGAAGAAGGATGAAAGTTTTTTTGTTTTTTTTTAATATTTAATGAATTTGTTTACTCCTTTTTAGAACATTCATAATTTTGATTAAAAAACTTGTTTTTCTTGCGGTAACTGTTGTACTAACTTTTAGCAAAACAGATTTTAGCCTCTTTTTTTGCGGTGACAGACAATAATTTGGAAATTTTTGAAAAAATCAAATAATTATCGGATTTTAATGAAATTTTCAGGACTTATTTATAAATGAATTTTCAAAACTCTTGAGCCTTGTATTGGTGAACAATCGTGTAAGAAAGTATACATAAGAAAATATATATTTATTTTTCAAGAAAAATTGATTTCTAAGTCCGTCTTAAATGCGGTTCGCCTTCAAAGAATCTCCTTCCCCGACGACACTCGGCGTCCAACTTTTGATTGTGGCCCCTTTTGCATTACGTTCCTTCGCCATAATATATTCCAGAGGTAAAATTTCATTAACAATGCAAAACTTCATTTTCTGTGTTTTATCGATCATCAGCAATTGTCTGATTGATTGTTCTGTTTTAATGGCATTTCCACTCTGTCGGTAATTTAATACCGAAAAGATTAAGAAAAATATCTATGATTTGTAAATAATTCTTTAGGTTATTGGTTCCATCGTTCTTCAATATTGCCTTTAGAGCAGCGTTATTTGGTGCTAAGATTTGTGGTATAGATCAGCCTCCTTCAGGTAGGTTAAGATTATATTTACTTTCATCGTTGAAGAGGTACACTAGATTTTCATGTCATAAAATTGTTGACACATAGGGGCAGGGTTACTACAACTGCTTTGAGTATGTTTTATAAATATGTCTCTTGACATGCTGTGCACTCAGAAGGATGTTCATTTTTTTAGGAGAAATGAGTGAGTGATATAGATGTGCTTTATTCTAATTCTTGTTATGACGAATTTTTCTCTCCAAGAAAGTCTGAGGCAGTGATGCCATATTGTAAAGTTGGTTGTTTGGATGGTAGTTCCATAAACCTTGTCACTTGTTGAGAATGTATGAGTTTATAGTTTCTTAGAAGTCTGTACAAGGGGATGTTCAGATTTGAAATGTTCATTTTTCGGAATTCTTTGCTGCCATGTTAGAGATTTTCCATTTCCATCGATGTCGATATGGCGATCAACAATTTTTTTCCATTTTTTAAATAGCTTCTGTAAATCACAAGAAAATATGGAGAACAATAAAATGATGCAATATTGTGCAAGCAATCTCCTTTATAAGTAATTATATTATAAGAAGGCAATGAAAGAAAACATTTCTCGAAATCACTGCAAAAAGGGCTCCAATTCATACCCAACACATTTCAAGTCGTCGTAGATAATCAAATAACTATTTGTAATTTAGTCCACCCACCTGACGTGCAGTATCCAGAATTTCCATCATAATCAGATCCCCATCAATATTCCTGCTGTTTGTGTAGACTTTTTCTGCGAATGAAAGAAAAACAAAATTCTTATCATAAAAGACAGTTTTTCATTCTGCCGAGTGATACCTACTTCTTTTGAATGTAAATCATTTTATAAGTTTGATTTTATTATCGCATTCTCATTGAGGAAGTAAATCACAGAAAAAACATTAGGAGTTTGCAGTTATGAAAAGAAAAACATTTCTACTTTTAAGTAAAGAGTTTTTGCAGTTTCAATAATCTAAAATACTAAGACAAAATGAAAATGGGGAGAAGTAAGGTAAATGTTTGAAAGTTGGAGAATCAGAGAAGAATACTTAAGAAGAAGGGATTGGAATCAGAGTAAAAACCGAGTGGATGGTGAGGGGGAGAAACTGTAAAAATTTAGAGGGGGACGAAATGAAAATGAAAAATTTAGAGGGAATCGGAATTAGGATAAAAACTGAGAGGTGGGGGAAATGAGGATAAAAATTCACGGGGGGTTGCAGGTAATGGGGATAAAACTTGAGAAGGGTGTGAAATGAGGATAACAATAGGAGGGGGCAAAATAAAGATAACAAAAATAGAGAGTGTCGAAACCTTGATTAATTACTCAAAGAGGAAAATTACGGTTAAAAAGTGAGAGTAAAGGAAGTGAAGATAAAAAATGAGTGGGTCGGAATATGGATAAAAGTGTGAGTCGAAGGAATGGGTATAAAAACTGAAGTCAGGGGCGAAATAAGGATAAATGTGAATAAAAATTTAGTTGGGACGAAATGAGGGGGTGAAATGAAAATGAAAACTGAGAGGGGCGAAATGACGCTCAAAATCGAGTAGGCGGCGGAATGAGTATTAAAACTCAGAGGATGAAAAAAACGACGAAGGGTATCAGGCTATAAAACGATGAAAGGTAGAAGCTGGTGATAGTTGCGAAATCGGAAACGTAAGGTGAAAGTATCAAGATCAAGATCAGGTTGACTGATTTATGGTTTTTTCACGACTTATCAACCCTTTGTGAGTTATTTAAGACCGAAACATATTTCGGATTTTAGAAGGTTGCTTACAGTATTCTGTGTACCCAAGCACCCGTCTCCCCCATCTAAATACTAAATGGGCTCAAAACTGCTTAACTTACTTCGGTGGTCTAACGGGAACCGGTGTTTCAGCGTGTAAGATCGGGATGAGAAAAGACGAAGAAGAAAAAAAAATAAAGGAATATAAAATAAATTTGAAATTTCGAATGAAAGAAGAAAGGGATTAATTATCGCATCAATATCGATCAAATTTGACCCTTGTAAACAAAGAGGAAAAATATAAAATGAAAGGAAGAAAACTGTACGAATATCAAACCAATTTTTATCTCCAGAATTTATCATGCATATCTACCATTCGTCCATGCTTAGAATATTGCTGCCACTTATGGTCCGGTGCCCCTGCTATTTTCCTGGGGCTCCTTGATAAAATCCAAAGAATCAGCTATATTATTGGTCCTAAACTGGCAGATCGGCTTCAGTCACTTTCCCACTGCTGTAATGTTGTCTCTCTGTGTCTTTTCTATAAATAAGTTCATGGTAATTTTTCGGATGAGCTCTTCCCTATGGTATCTAGAGTTTTTGAATTTAAGCGCAGTACAAGATTGGCGTCAAGATCTCATCAATTTACAGTTGAGCTGACGAGATACAGCCGTTAATTCTATGCTAAGAGTTTCTTTTCTTGCACTTCTCGCCGTGGGAAATCTCTGCCGGATGCATGCACTCCAGTCAACTTTAATCTGGAAAAATTTAAATGCAATGCCAATCGCTATCTACTGTCCTCCTGATTATTCCTTTCTCTTCTTACTCATAATGTTTTTGTTCCTAATTCTTCGACATCCTGTAACCTCAGTTCCTAGTAACCGACAGCCAGACAACCTGCACATATGATTTGCTTATAGTGATGAAGGTTTTGTGCAGAATCAACCACACTTTTTGAAAAGCCGAATACCTGATTCACCGTGTGCCACAAGGTCCCCAAACGACCCGCCGCGAGTTTTGAATTCAGAGTTGTCCTTCTCCTAGACCAGTTACCATCTAAGGCTATAGAACCCAGTCTATCCTGAGAGAAGAAGAGGATTCATACCTTTCCCAATGGGTATTAGCACGTAATGGAATTTAAGGAGACACAGTGGAGTAATGGATAGAGTCTTCGATTGAGGAATCGGAGAGCCGAGTTCGAATAGATATATGTTAAATAAACACTTTTATTTCCTCACTGATAGCAATCACTAGTATATATATATATATATATATATATATATATATATATATATATATATATATATATATATATATATATATATATATAAATAATGTATTTAATTCTAGTCCAGTATTTTATTATAGTGGATACTTCGCATATGAAATAGCCGTTTGAATAAACAAAATATCGGATTAATAATAAATCCATTAGTTCTTTAGAAATTGCTTTGTTTCGGTTTCCGCGACGCAATTGAGCCGTTATTGGCTTTAGTGAAAAATAATTTTGGTGAAGAGGATGTGCTTCCCTCAAGATGACAAAATATTGCTTTGCTTACTGACGTTGTTCGTGGCCGACTGCTAAAGTATAGCGGATCAAATGGTGGTTTCTCATACATAGACGAACACAGGTCCGATCCCAGCCGGAAGACACATTTGCTTTACTGAGATTTTTTGAATGCTCAAGCCGCTCGACGTATTATACATTGTTTAATAAAAAAAATGTGGCGACTATAAAAATATATATTACAGAAACTCCTAGAGAAGGTTGAAAAAGAAAGCCAGAAGAATGGACTAAACATCAAATTGACTAATGATATTATTTATGTACGAACATGCAGTAACCGTGCGTACAAATAGAGGTATGAATGTATATGTTTCGGTTGATACACATAAATACACGTATATGCAAACAAACGTACGTATAGACTCAAATCTTTCTCTTAAAACAACTTTTCACGAAAACATCTCAAGTCCTGTAGCTGTTATTGCTATTTCAAGTACCGATGGGGATATCTTTCCTAACCTTTTATTTAAAGTAGCGGGGAAGGTAAATATCTTAATTATGTCATTATTTTTTTTTCGTATTACATGTGCCGTCCATTTTAGTTGTTACTATTGTTGGTAGTCCTCAAGTGATGAGTTTTCTGTTATTAGGTACAGTTCTTTGTTTGTATGGTGGGTAGGTCAACTGGTAAAACTCTGGAGAACTCAAAAGTGGTATAGAATACTAAATAATAGGAGTAAATCGATTCGCCTGTCGCCCGGTTCACATCCTCCCCGGTCTTTTAAACAGGAGTAGAGTTTTGTCCCTTGTTTCCTGTTTAGGATTGAGTTTCCGGATCCTTCTAAAGTATTTTCCTTCTCTTTCACTTCCAATAGCTCCTTGAGTCTTAGTGGCATTATCGCTTTGCTTGCGGTGAATTGATTAAAAAATCTATGCACAGATACTACAACATCACACACGCACGCACGCACGCACATGCACACACACACACAAGCACAATCACACATTAACAAAAAACATGTCTATTTTTATTTCATTATTTAGATGTGTTTATTTAGTGTTCTCTAAAACCTACCACCGGAAGCTACGACTCATGAGACTTGGTTTGCAACTTTGAAGTACATACCGTTAACACAGTCCTGGGTGCTCCAGCAGAAACCTCACGTTATCTGCACCTGCCATGTTTTAGAAAGAGCGGAGGGAGTGTTAATTTCATAAATTTTAGTTCGAAGAAGCATCAATTTGATGGCAAGAGACACAGCGGATAAATCGCAACCCACATTTTTTAAGTTAACGATTCACCATTCCTAGAGGCCGACACTGAGTTTTATTTTTAAACATTCCCTCCCGTTTTAAGTGCTGTTACCTTACGCTTCACAAAATGTGGTTCTTGTGTGCAGAAATGTCTAGTGCAGGACAGAGTAAATTTTTAAAATACTTTTTTAATCATATTTTTAAATCATTTCACACCAAGCAAGGCGATGGTGCCAGTAACTTGCAAAGAGTTGCTGAGAGTGAACGAATCTGTGAAAATGTTACTGACGAGAAAGGACAATCAAAGGACAGAGTTCATAAAAAAAGGGGACAGAAGATGACGATTGACGCTGAATTTAAATTTATGTAGATTTTAAGGACACAAAGTCGTTTGTTAGATCCAGTGAGAGGACCCAAAGTGTGTGAGTTCAATACCCGGTTAAGGCAGTGGAGAACTTGGAGAGGTGAATTAACAGGAGATAACAGATAACTGACATCCATTAAACATGGCACATGAAACTAGAACAGTCTACCCCAGCGAGCGAAATAAAGTGTTCAGTTCGACATTCCAACCAGCTGAAGAAGACCGGAGCGTACAACGGCCGAAACGTTGTGATAAATATGGCTACAAAGATGAGGACAATAGTCCGAGTGATGTAAATAATGTAGATTACAGGAAAGCGAGAAACTGGAAGAGAGTTCCGCTATTGAAAAGTGCCAGGGAAGAAACTATTAGAATAAAACTGACGATTACATTTAGCAACTTCATTATTTTTATGATTCCATTTCAAGGAGTTCTTTTTCAGCTGTGATGGTGACAATCCTCCGATCGAATATCATTTTTATTATTTATATCGTAAATTTATCCCATCTTAAATTTTATAGTCGTCCAGGCAAGTAATATACAAGGGTTATAAGTGAGAAAATATTTATTCCCCCATCTCTCTCTCTCTCTCTCTCTCTCTCTCTCTCTCTATATATATATATATATATATATATATATATATATATATATATATAATTTTCCTAAATTTAATCCACAAATATTTCAATCATATTCCATTGCTCAACAAAATCTTCAATAAGAACAACATTAAAATTAGCTACAGCTGCACCAAAAACCTTGAGCAACAACATCTAGCACAGAAAAATAATGTAACATTAAAAAATATTTAAATAGCCTCAATAAAAAAAAAGAGAAAAAAGTGTAATAACTGAAAAAACATTACCTGTCTATTAAATCATAAATTTATGTATAAAGGCGTCATCTACAAGCTTGACATGAAATATAATGGCGAGACAAAATTTTATTTCGGTTCCACAACCAACCACCAGAAAATTTGATATTATCACCATAAAATGACTCTTACCAATAAGCAATATGCACTCACGAACTTTTACTGGGATATTAAAAAGACTATACACCAGTAGTAAATTGGAATTTCATCGCCAAATTTACACACTTTTCCGGTCGCGGCGATCGATGTAACCTGTGTTTGCTGGAAAAAAGATTCATCCTGAAAAATATTAATGACCGAAACCTATGATAGACTTATGATAGTTTGTAATCACAGGAAGAAAAGTCTCCTAAAGTATTTTAATTCTTGATAGATCAGTTATTCAAATACCACATGCCCATTACATATTTTAGGTTATATATTGATTATCCCGCTTTAACCATTTAAGTGTCTATTAATACGTAATGAGCCACACGACGTTCCTCGTTTATATTAACTTTGAGCTTTGAATCGGCGTTTAATTTAGCGTTCCTCCTATGAGAACCAGTATTTTTAAAAAACGACTGTAATAAGTATTTCATTCACCAGTTCGTGCCTCACGACTTGGAAAAACCATGAAACTTTAAGTTGCACTACAAACGTAGGTATATGTATATTTATTAATATATACTTCTTAGCTCTGTCTACCTACATTGAGCACTGTTTTGTTTACACATTATATTAAATTTAGTAAATATTTATTCATTTATCTGTGTATGCACTCTAATGCCCGCATACACATTTGCAAATATCTAAGTATTTGGTTTATATCTACACTTATAGATAGATAGATAGATAGATAGATAGATAGATAGATAGATAGATAGATAGATAGAAAGGATTAATAGAGGTATATCAAAATGAACATTCAAGTGACATTTCGAAAATAAAAAAGTTAAATAATTCATTTGATAAAAAATGAATCCCAATCAAAATATTTTAATTGAAAATTGCATATGAAAGGAAAATTACACAATTTTTTTATTGTTATCAAAGCACATCAGAATGAGCATTAAATTGCAATGCATTTATTAAAGTAGTGATTACATATATATTATGAAGAAAACATTATAAATCTAAGGGAAATAACTCGATATTGATTTGTATACAAAATCTAGATTTGTTTCCCTTTGTATAGAAACTGATATGTAATCGAGAATCAAACTTTGAACCGTAAAATGGAAATAAAAACTCCCATGTGACGCGTTTCGTCCTTCGAATGGATTTCTTCAGGCTAATTTTGGTTTTTATCGTCTTATATATTTAGGTGGAAGAGGGAGAAGGATTTAAAGCAAACGTTGTTTACAATTTTACATTGAGAAAGAAAAGATACTATTTTACTTACCAAGGTTCGGATCATATTCGCCTATGAATCTTCGCGTTAAATAGCGAACAATAAAAGCTGAAAAGAGAGACACAAAACTGTGTATTGTCTTATAAATGATTAAAAAGAAAAAAAGAAAGAATGACATGTCACGGACTTGAAAGCAATGCTGAAGAATGCTTTAAAGCGGTTAAAAGAATTGAAAACACGTCAGAATTGTTAGTAAATCTCATAGATTAGAAATAACGAATAATCGAACTCTCTTCTGTTTTGTTAAAGGAAGTCGCTTTTATTGTGAGAAATTTTCAAACTGAAGTGGATGAGCTTTTACAGATGGTAGAAAGATGGTTTTAGTAATTCAGAGGAAAAGCGATTTCAATTAAAACTGAAAGAAATGTTAGTAAAAAATAAATGATATTTGACAATACTAATATAAATTTCAGATAATAGTACTGCTAATATTATTAGTTGAAAAAGTAAACGAAATGAAGATGAAAGCAATCTTTGTCAAAAATGAATAATGCTTGACAATAACTTATCTAATAAAAATCCTAACTATTGACTAGTATTTCTTTCAATTTTATTTTATTCATTTCCACTGGTAATATTAGTAGTAGTAATATTACTTGGAGTTTATATTAGATGAAGCATTGTCAACAATTATTCATTTAACAACAAATACTTCCTGTGGAAATAAAACAAATGAAAGTAAGATGAAAGAAATGCTAGTTAAAAATAAATAATGGTTGACAATGCTTCCTCTAATAAAATGCTAGATAATATTACTACTATTATTACTGGTGGAAATAAATTCAGTGAAATTAAAAGAAATACTAGTAAAAATGAATAATGTTTGACAATGGTAAAATTCAAGTAAAATTCAATATCAAAGATATTAAGTCATAACGAAGACTGAGACAAGCTCAAAATGGTTTTCCCGATTGTTTACACTTTCCCATCAATTCCTTGCAGTAATAAATTTGTTTTTTTATTGATCTGTAGAATGTATATCATGCATTATCTAAAAATTCGTTAACTCTGTCTTCAGACCAATCCTCGTGGAATGTAGCTGTGTATTTGTTAAAAAAAAGGAACACTGAACATTTGCTAACCGTAGATCAATATGCGATAAAGTCACATTAGGGCAAATGGTAGGATTAGAGCAAATGGTAGGATTAGAGCAAATGGTAGGATTAGAGCAAATGGTAGGATTACAAAGATTGTGTTGCGGCAAGATCACACTTATCAGCAGCGTGAGTGTGAATATCCAACTACTTCAGCAACGAAGCAAGTAACATTAATATTACTATTTATTAATATTACAATAGTATAGTACAAGTGTAAATGGGAAAAAGAATGCCTAGTAAGATTGTGCAGTACTAATCTTTCAAAAGTTTGGGGAGATCCGGCCTTGAAATTCACCATTCGAATTCCTGTTTTTAATTAGGCTCGAACGCTGATTCAAGCATCGTTTAGAATACTTAATTATGAATGAATGACTGAATGAAGGAATGAATGAATGAATGAATGAATGAATAATAATAATAATAATAATAATAATAATAATAATAATAGTAATAATAATAATAATAATAAAACAATGGACCTGATATTATAATAAAAAACAAGAAATTCAGCAAATGTATGCTTATTGGCATAGCAATATCATCTGAGAGAAGCGAGAATGAAGGCTGAGACTGTACCAATAGTAATCGGAGCCTTGTGAGAAAAATGAATAGACAATTTTTTGTATCCCAGAAAACATCAACATACAAGTAGGAACATCCCATATACTAAGAAATGTGCTATCAATTAAATAACAATTTTCCTATAGGGCCGAAGGACCTTAGTTTGGACCCGGCTCTACATTATACAACTCAGGAAACATAATATTCACAAATAATAATAATAATAATAATAATAATAATAATAATAATAATAATAATAATAATAACTCAGCATGATAAAAATGGCCAATATCTGCTCTAGAAAAGCTTCCGACAGTCTCATTGAAAGGATTCCTGGTAGGCTATGCTTAAAGAAATACAAAAAAATCTACTCACAAGTACAGTTCACACATTACCAAGAGCTTTATCTATGTAAAATGTGTGTGATCTTAGGTGTTTTTATTTTTTTATTTTTTTTTATAAAAATGACTATTGGAAAATGTCATGAAGCCATTTCTGACATTAGGTCTCTGTTTGGGACCCGGAATGAAATTAGTATACAACAGAAATCAAAGGAACTACTACTAATACTACTGCTACTATTAATAATAATAATAATAATAATGATAATAATAATAATGATAATAATAATATTTGTTCCCAGCCCGCTTATCGTTTCTTTCAAACAAAATAAAAACATCAGGAAAATTTTAACAAGTGAAAGCATTCACACATAAAACTCTATTGGAATTTCGGATCGTTGCACTCCAGAAAACACTCATAGAAAGGGAAAACCCTTTTCGCTGTGAAACAACATGAGTCAAGTCAATTCTGTCAAAAATTCAAAGAGAAACATCGCGATTTCTACAGAGGGTGGCACAGATTCCCATTTAATATACGCCACCCAATGTACCAAAAATAACTTGATTTATGCGGGTTGCACAACGGAAAAATTAAATAACAGATTCAATGGCCACAGGTAGGATGTCAGGCACAATAATGTGGAATCAACGGAGCTTGCAGAACATTTTATTACAAACGACTGTAATTTCGACAATCATCTTAAAGTGCACATTGTAAAAAATATTCAGAATCTACCGACCTTTCGACCATGAACACATATGACGATAGTTACCTATGTCCCGCCTCGTGAGATTAAACAGAATAACGAGATTTATACTAAGCTGTTTGATTAATTCGCCTTTAAATCAATATTGGTTATCGGTGAATCGGCTGCAAAGTTTTAAAGATGAATTTCACCAGATCCTGAGGATGAAACGCTTCTTCGTGCAAAAGAGCTTATCCGCTCCCCACCCATCACCCCAACCAATGAACAGTGTTTGATAGAAGCGCACCTTTCAAGGTGTTTCACCGGTCGTTGTTTAATTCGCACGGATAAAATGCCGATGGTCGGTCGAGTTGTTAAATGGGGAGCGAGAGAACGGAATCCGATCTGCTTGTTTCGCGTTGTTCGACAGTGGGGAAAGAAAAACTGGTTTCTTCTCTTGGCAAATATGTCGGTAAAGTGTTTGGCCCAGCTTCAAGGTCAGGTATTCCTGGGTGTGCAGCTCTCGCATAAAATGGGTAGGTGCCTATTCCCTTGGTTCAGAGATTTTAGGGCCGTGAGAATTTACGCAAGTAAGGATCTATTAAAATTGACAGAAAATAAATGCAGATATCTATCTATCTATCTATCTATCTATCTATCTATCTATCCTGTTTTTAACACTATTTTATTCATTCCCTCTTTCTTTCTCTCTTTCTATTTATCTATTTTTCATGTCACCCTAACCAAGGCGTTAATACCACTAAGACGCAAGGGGTTACTGAGAGTGGAAGAGAATGAGAAAACTTAAGAAAGAACAATAAAAGGTCAGGAATCAAGACAACAGAAGATGGCGATTGATCTTGAGTTTAATTTTTTGAAGATTGTAGGTGACAAGGAAGCAATGTAGGATTAAAAAGGATTATAAAATGTAATAAAGTTAGTCAAGACAAAAAGAGAAAACGCGTTTCCCTTCAATCAGCTGATAAATGGGAACACGTGATTTATAATAGGTCATTCCACGCACGAGTGCACCTCGTACTTACGTAATCCATTAATAACTAGCGTGATTTCCTCTACCAGGTTTTTCTTGGGAGGATGGTGGATAGAATGGTCAAACACATTTCATATCAAATTTCAAGTAAGAACTGTGTCAGGGTACGGTCTAACTGACCAACTCAATATATATATATATATATATATATATATGTTTATGAATAAAAATGACAATAGGAAAACTGGTAATTGCTGACGCGTTTCGTCCAATGTGGACTTTATCAATTTTCGTATTTTGCTTTGATAAAGTTCACATTGGACGAAACGCGTCAGCAATTACCAGTTTTCCTATTGTCATTTTTATTCATAAATATTGTCTTCTCTACCGATTAAATCGGAGAAATTTTTTCATATATATATATATATATATATATATATATATATATGTGTGTGTGTGTGTGTGTGTGTGTGTGTGTGTGTGTGTGTGCATATGGTGTATTTAAGCAGCAATCCTTCATTTATGCATATTTAATTAAAAACGACAGATATGGTGCTACGATTAGGCTTTTTATTTAATTTTTCTTGTGTTCGAACAAGTGTTTTCTTTTTTTGGACACAGAGCGTGTAGAAACTGTCTAAATTTCAAGCGCTTTCGGCTATACATTTAGCCATTATCAAGGATGATTTTATTTTTTCAGTTTAATTGAGTGTGTTCGTTTTGTATATGTTTTTAGTGTTATAGAAATGTTTCATTTTCCGAACACAGTTAGCAGATTGTGGCCGTGTTCGTAGTTAATATTATTAAGTGTTGGCTTTTTCTTTTTATTATTAAGGTTTCCATTATTTTTAATCATATTTTACAGGGGGATGAGGTTATTATGTTTTCATTTTATACTAAATGGAGTCTGGTAAGTTTGTGTGTGTGTCTAAATGGGTTCTATTAGAGCTCTGGTCGAAGACATGTAACATAAGGCGTCTGGATAGGCATGTAGTCGTGTGACTAATGTAATTATTTATAAATTCGGCTTGATCAGGAACATAGTTTCTTAAGAGGCATTTGAGCTCATAGATGATGTTCGTTCGTTGTAAATTTGGACTCATAGATAATGTTCGTTCGTTGTAATTTTGACTTTCCTGGTGTATTGTTAAGGTAAGCTGTTTTAATGAAACATGCATATATATATATATATATATATATATATATATATATATATATATTAAGACATTTTTATGTTTATACATTCTTTTTTATAGATACAAATATTTAAGTAAATGCTCTGTTTATAATAAACAGTATTAAACAATATTTAGCGGCCTGAATGTCCGAGAAATTTTCACAGAAAATATTCGTCCACCGACAGGAATCAAAC